TGCAGTTTAAAATTGAATATATCACTCAGACATTAAAATCCAGATAGCTTATTCTGGTTTCGATTGTTTAAACAATTAATTCTTATATTTTTAACATTTGACAAATAAAAATAAATAATGTTGCTTTATTTTTGATAAAGAATTTTGTGAAATATAATCGCAAGTAGGGTATATATATGTTTCCATTTGTATGCATTTCTAATGGTTCTCAAAACTATTTTGTTTCTCAAAACTTGATTGAAAGTTGATCACATCATCTAAAATTATTTTGCTTTTGTTTATTAGTTATGTAAAGATTCTAGTGGGTATATCTTCCAAAATGACGACCTCATGTCGGTTTACATTATAGTGGATAAAGCAGAATTATCTCTTTTGGTTAACAAGTTGCTGTTTCAAATAATATGCAGAAGCATGTGAGTTTCGCGGAGAAAGGAAGGAGAGGAGAGGTCGTTGTTTTATAGATTACAACGCAAGAATGGCCATCAAATACTGTCCATAATTTTTTTCTTACTTGCATGCGTTTGTTAGGACTCGTATATATTTCAATATTAGGACTTATATGTTCTGGCATATATCTAGCTATCATCGCTAAATTTGATGTCAAAAAAAGAGAGAATATATATATTTTCAACGTAACGAGACATTTTAAAAAATTATCAAAAAAATAAAAATAAACGAAACATTAAAAATATTCAGTCTATGTCCGGATTTTAGATGAGTGGCCTACTTTTTCCATTCTATTAGCGAAGTTCAGAGAGATGCAAAGTCGTTTTCCGGGTTTTCTTATTTTTTAATTTCTCATTCTTTTAAATTAAAGCGGACTGTTTAACCCGTTCAGCACATTGTAGAGTTTATGGTTTTTCTTATGTAAGCAATTCTCCGCCTATTTGGATTAACAATTATGGTAACTTTTTTAATTATAGTTTGGTTGACCAAAAAAAAATATTCCGTCCATAAATGGATGTAGTAGCGCCCCAAAATTTCAAAATATCTTGCGGTTGAATTTCGAGGGGCTGTTCATCAAAGAAACATCGCCGGTGTTAGATTCTTGATGAGTGCCGATAAATAACTCAGCCACTCGAAAGAAGCGAATTCAACTCTTCCACTTAATGTGCAAGTTTTTGATTATTTTCTTCGGTCACAGATGAGTGTTCGTGAGAGGGATTTCAGGTTTTTCATACCCAAGTAATCTAAATAAGTGCAATTCATACATAAACTAGTGCTGTAAACTTTCTATCCTAAAAGCAAAATCAATGGTAGTTTGTTAATTTGAGGATTCTAAGTGATTTTTTTTATTATAAATTGTTTTTGAGATTCTAAATCTCTATAATTTAGGATTCTAAATTTCTAAAATTAGAACCTTTTTATTGGATTTTTAAGTATTATGTTTATTATTTAGTTATTTTTAATATTTTAGAAACCCATTAAAAACCACTAAACACACCATTGATCAATGATCTAAC